TGACAATATACACCTTCATGCTTCATCAAATAATTATATCTAAATTACCCAAGCTTATATAAGACACCTCAAGAATATAAGCCTATGGTTTCTTCTTTAGGTGTTTTCCTTCTGGAGATATATACATTCAATTATAAAATCTGCAATCACTATTTCTTTTATTACACCTTTTGCTGTTCATTAACCGCAAAGGAATATTCATTAAAGCGAAGAAGCATTGTTATTAGAGCGAACAGGCATACAATAAGGCGAACGGAGTCTCAATAGTGCGATGGAACGTTCATTAAGAAATTTAGCATTGAATTTGACAATCATGAATATGTTTGCGTGGGTTCATTAACGTTTTCAAACTTTCATTAGCGTTTTGGTGCAGTCAATAAACCACAACACACACTCAATACAGTGTTTTGGACATTTATTTACGCAATACAAAATAAGCATATTGTGCTTTTACGATTGTACATTTTCAAAAACAAAAAAGTGAATTTATCCTTGAATGTGTTCTGTATTTAAACATCTTGGACGATATGTTTGCATGTGGTYGTACCATTTTATGCATTTCTGTGGATCTTCATAGGCCCTCACAAGACGCTATTTGACTTCATTTGGAATTTGGTTTATTTGTTGAACCATTGCAACATCCAAAAAAGAGGGATTAAAAAACTCAGAACTAACTTAATATTCATACCTAACGGCGCTTTGTTTGTACGAAATCATATTCACGGCTTTTTAAAAAAATGAAAAGACAGTTAAAATCCTAAAATTCCTAGTGGAAAATATACTTATATTGTATTGCGTGAATAAATGTCCAAAACGCTGTATTGAATGTGTGTTGTGGTTTATTGACTGCACCAAAACGCTAATGAAAGTTTAAAAACGTTAATGAACCCACGCAAACATATTCATGATTGTCAAATTCAATGCTAAATTTCTTAATGAACGTTCCATCGCACTATTGAGACTCCGTTCGCCTTATTGTATGCCTGTTCGCTCTAATAACAATGCTTCTTCACTTCAATAAATATTCCTTTGCGGTTAATGAACAGCAAAAGGTGTACATATTTGTACAATTTTTGTTCATACAATGTTACTATATTTCCAGAATGGTAGATTGAATAAACTGATTGATTGATTGATTGATTAACCCCCTCCGCTAAGAAACATTTCGTGGTGTACGTCGAGGAATTTATGACATCCCTGACTGTTTTTTCTGTTCTCTTTGTTTTGTGGAAAAGGAAATCAAGGGAGAGCTCCCCCGCAGCAATCAAAAAGCAAGTTGAAATAGAGATGAAAATGCAGAATGAAGACTACAGTATTGACAATCTGGGAGCAGATATTCTGGACACAGATAAACCAGCATACCAAATAAACACATAAGCATGTTGCACACTTTTATGAGGTTTTTCATGTGACGTCACGCTGTAGAGATTTTTTTTCAAATCTGAAAAAGCAGTTGACATTCAAAGTTTTCATACAGATATTAGTAAAAACTGTGAAGTTTCGCGAAGATCGCACATAAACTATCGAAGATATGATTTTCTTTAAAAAAAGAAATTTTACGAAGAACTGTTATGTTGGCAGGCAAAATTTGCCCTCCAGCATACATTCATTTTTTTGTCGTAAACGTTGCAAGGTTGATTCGTACACTCTCTGGATTATGGCAGAAATCCATGGATGGATAGTTATGGACTTCTGATTATGAACAATGTTCACGAAACTTTACAAATTTTTCTAATATCTATAGGAAACATTTGACTGAAAATCAGTTCTTTTTTCTGACAAAAGATGAAATTTTTGATAGCGTGACATGACATTGAAAAACCCCAATAGATATCTTTTATCGTGCACCAAGTATTTTCACTAATATCGAGGTGGATCGAGGTGTTCATTTTATTGTATTTTATTTTTTTGATCATTTTGACCCAACTGCTCAAGGGGGATAGGGTCACTTGACCTAGAAAGTGTCTTATTTGTTTCACAAAATGTATCAAATGGATCTGAATGACCTGTTTAGCACTCGACTAAGTATTCGTTGTTCTTTACTAGTAAGATCACGTGACCAGACGAGAACTAGTTCTTTCAGGATTTATTTTATATAGCGTTGGAGTCCTAAAGAACAAGAAAAACTAGATTATTATCAGACGAATTTGTAAGTTACGATTGTTAATCTTTTTGTTTTAAGTAATCTTTTTATTTTAAGGTATCGATATTTTTTCTTTGATTTTCCATTTTAATATATAGATATAGATACATGCACGCTGTATATGTGACAGAGAAGCTTGAGAGAGAAAATTTGTTTGTAATCACAGAAGCAAAACCTCGACTGCTATATGCAGATAAGTAAAAATAATTTTAAAAAATATCATTTAAACTATTTTCCTTTGTTTTGATTCGCCGAGATAACTGCAAATAACTGCCAACAAATAATAATTTTCTCATCATGCGCATTATACTGTGGTTGTCGGAATGGTGCAAAATTCAACGAATGTGAACACGTTCAAAATCAACAAATTATTTGTATATCGACACTTTCGTGGTCAACTCAAAATCTTATTCAAATAAAAAATCTCCTAATTGCTTCAACCTCAAGTTTATGCCAAAAACAATACCTTTTATCGCCCAACTTCAACAGAAAATTCCTATTCAACTTCAACAAAAAATTATTCTCAACAATTTGGGAACGAACGGTACTACTGTTTTGCAGAGAGGAAACTGGGGGCTATAGCCCAATTTTTTTTAAACAATTTTTTTTAAACAATTTTTTTAATCAATAATTTWTTTTTTTTTWAATAGCAATTTTTGACAAGTTTTTAAAGTGGACAACAAATAAACAACTGATCTTTCCTTAGGTTTTGTAAACTTTTTTATTACTCGCCATGGTTAGCGCTAACCATGTGTCACAAAAAGTATAAAATAACATTGATTAATTAGGAAATTTCACTATTGCCTAGCCTATTTTACGTGCTTTCCTGCTACAACATGTTTGTATGTTTTGTAATTTCCTGTAAATAGTCCATATAAACTGTTGTAATAGTACTCATTTGTAAACTCCATGGCTAGCGTCTGTTGATTACAGACGAAACGCGTCGGAGTAATAAGAAATTTTACAAAACCTACAATATTACGGAGCAAAGAATGGACCAACGATAATCGGTATTACAATTGTGCCACTTGTAACTGAATATGAATTTAAATATTAAAAGTGATACTAACTGATTATCACTATTTTTTATTAAACATTTTWATGACGATTGCGAACCACTGCTCACCACCCACCACCACCCACGATCGTGGACAAACGAAACCAGTTTTAAAACCGGTTTTAAATCGGGCACATGTAGTACGCATGAGCAAATGTAACACACCGTGGCTCCACCGTTTGACGAGAGCGGCTGTCAAAATCATGACAGCGTTGCTAAGTTACGCCACGCAGGCGCGACAAGTATAACGTCCCACATCGGCAGAGTCTATTTTTCTCACTCCACCCAAGGGCGCTAGGACAGACGGATTGGGTTTTAAATATGTGTGATTGTTTCAGTTATTCGTAGATTTCTAATTGAATTGATATATGTTTGTTTCTAAATGGATACTAAATAGTGTTCACTTATCTTTCCATCCAACGGTCTTTCTGGTTTGAATCAGCCTTACGATATGAATATATTTACCACGTCCACCAACGGTCTTTCTGGTTTGAATCAGCTGAACGCTCTGAGTATTTACCGCTGCACTATCCGTGCCAAGCAGCGCCGGCGTCGCTTTGTTAGCGATTACTCTCCTTTAAACCTTTAATAAGTTAATCAAATTTACCTTCAGCACAGTACTGAAGCATGATGAAACTGAGCATCATACTAGAAGTAAAATGAGCAAATAAAAAATGGTGGTCACCGAGTTCGTTTAGCTATCAGATACGTGGAAGTTCATCCTTTTTAAGGTATACAAAACGCGCGAACAACGTAAACATGGAAAGCCATATTTACTAAAAAAATAAATTGCTCGTCTCACAGAACTCTAGGAAATGACCAAATAATTAGTTAGCATTTAAAATTTGTGTGGGAAAAAATAAATAAGTTATTTACCGTCCTATAGTCGGTCCGGATAAGGAAAAACTGTGCCCTCGGTCTTGAAAACGGACCTCGGACTAATGGCCTCGTATATTCAAGACCTCGGACATAGTTTTTCCCTATTCGGACCTCCTGGCCTCGTATATTCAAGACCTCGGGCACAGTTTTTCCCTATCCAGACCTCCTGGCCGGAAAATAACATATATTTATTGGACTACAAGACACGGACTGGAAGCCTTCACGTTACGCGAAATTCTCCAATTATGTACAAAATATGCAATTTCGATTTGATTCCATCGTCAGAATTTTAATTTTTTTTCTTGTCAAAAGTTGGGTATTATAAATTACTTTCGAAAAACGAAATTAATAGAGGGGCACCGACTTTGTTTTGGGGATATTTTGCTTATCGAAACCGTGACGTCATCACGATGAGGGCGCGCACTACTGAAATTCATCCGTAGAAAGGATGCGCGCGCGCCTGTGTACTAAGAGGTCACGTGATCAAATCGGCCATTGTGGCTGGCATTCTACAGGATTTTAGCTATGCGAGAATGTAAAAAAAGATGGGGAATTCGGGTAGTTTTTTTGGCGATAAAAGGTAAGTTAGCGCACTAAATAACTATAAAAATCCCCTTTTCTTGCAAGAAATATATTCTTAGTAGATATCTAAAGTAGATTTTTGCTATTAACTCGCCAAGAAGAGAAAAAATATGGTATTTTTTGCGCTACGATGTATTATTGTCAAACTTCGGACAATAATACTGCAAAGAATATCATCGATCACTTCAATTTAAACAATAATTATTTGCCAATGCAAAACCTCCAGTAATGTCAATCACGTGTCAATCTATTGCAAAAGGCCTATAATTAAGAATTCTCTTGCACTCGAATTGCACTTGAATTCTCTTCTATTTAGTACAGAAGTATACAACCATTGAGTTTTTTCGGGAAAAAAAATTAGCAAAAAAAATGAAGATGTATATCTCACCTTTGATAGATATGTTGTAAGTGATGATCACCAGGGTAAAACGATAATGAAAGCAAATCCAAAAAGATTGACTTGTCGTCTCTTCATGTACCTTAATACATTCGCCATGCTTTTAGAGATTTGAGGAGTCACTTTTGGTCGATATTGAGCCAAAATGAACAAAACCTTTTGAACGCCACCAGTTTTATTCTATCAGTTTAATCATATAGCGCGATTCTAACATATGTATTCATATGTATTGTGATCTCTCTCTCTCTCTCTAATTGGAATAAAATGTCCCACTGCTACGTTTTGAAGTCGAAAGACAAACAAATGGCTTATCAGTCTAATTTTCATCCATTTCCATACTGATGTAAACAAGCTTTGCCTTTTATTAGTTGATCCCAGTTCACAATACACTTTAAGAAAATAGAGCTAGTTTGAGCTTCATTTCAAAGCCCGCAACAAGCGAACATTGGTTTCCATAATAACCAAAATAACAAGGCACGTCTCTTATCTCTGAGTTTTTATGATCAAAAACTTGAATGATCATCATTGTGTCTCCTCGCATTGAAACCGTAGACCCAGTCTGTCTTCTCTTTAACTCTGTATAAAGTGGACGTAAGATACCCACTGAAGAAGCTTGTAACAAAAATCTTCGGTGCCTGAGCTTATGTTTACTACAGGGTCAACAGTAATTGTCGAAAGCTGTTGTGATTTCTCTCCTCAGGGAAAAATTTAATGAAATTAAAATATAGATAATTTTTTTATATACCATGATGTAAATTCTAAAAAAGTGTATTATTACAGCTGCTACTCCTTGATACCTGTAAACATATAGCTGATCCCACCTCCAGCTGCCTGAAAACACAGAATCCCTTACTTTACTTTTAAATCTACTTTAAGGGCTCCCATTCTTCGTTTGCACGTTACGTCATCGCGGCCATGTTGGTGCCATTTAACAAACGATTTCTCATTAGCATCCATTGTTAACGGTACCACAATGAACGCCATGTTTTTGTCTTTTAACTCTCTTGGGAATGCTTGCAACTCTACAATAGCGCAGGGCACTGATTCTAAAAATAGCTTAAAGATTCGGACAAACATTGCATTCTGTTTAACCGCTACGAAGATTATACGAACCGATTTCATTATTTTTACTTAAAGTTACAATAATAACCCATGTAAACTAAGATCAACTGCGATCGGCTGTGAAAATTATCTGCTGAAAGTAAACTTGTAAGTTTGTTTGTCCGAATTTCGCCTTTGTCTTCGTTTTTATGACGTCACGGCTGCGCTGCGCTATTGATAACAGTTACATCTAGTAACTGAAGGGGCTAATAAGGGGCTAATAAGAGTGTTAGAGTACAAACAGTATAAGTTGCACACTTTTAGTGTTTGTACTCTATCTATCTATCTTTACTTTCAAAATACTCGACAAATATTAAAAAATAGACTCTTTCATAGTTTCTCGCTTGGTCGCTGCACTCTCCATGTTTAGACACTGTAACGGTACAATGCCTTAAAGTGCGACAGTTTTTTTTTTTTTCATTTTAGCGAGAGAAGCTAGTTTTAATTCTTTCAAATACGACAAAACATACCTTCAAGATGATTTGTATTTTTCTTTCTAAAGACTCTCCGTTCTCCATTCTCTATCTTCAATTATCTTCTTTATTTACATTTACAAAATGCTATGGAAATCATATCAAGTCTAATGTAACTCTCCTCCTTCCTTTCTTACTCGATCTTTGGTAACCGTTCGCCACTGTTCATGTCTCCATCGAATCTTAGGCCCGGTTCATACGTCGAACTTTTCATGAACCGAACCTAACACGTTGAAGATCGACCAAAGATCGTCAAATATCTACTTTTGCTTCAGACGTCGTACCAAATTCAGTCGATCCAATTAGATTTTTCCAAGTCAAGCATTTAGGACAGCGGTTAACATACAGTAATATAGAAATCAGACTCTTCCGCAGTTCCCCGCTCGGCCATCCTATACTTCTTGCTGCAACTCAACCAGGCCGTTCTTCATCGCTTTCAAAACATAAACACTTATTGCATATTGGCATTTTACAAGAAATACAAACGTATTTCGTGGTTACAAAACACGAATCACACATATAACACGTGGAAGCCATGTTGATGTTCATGCGCATGCACAGCTCATGATAAACCTGCTTGCCCCCTCCCCCCCCCTTTTTACGATTTGCGATTAAATATAATATATGCATTAGGTTCGGTTCATGAAAAGTTCGACGTACGAACCGGGCCTTAGCTGTTTCACGTATCACGTGCAAAGCGAAGAATCCGATTCTTCTTCGCTTTACACGTGACAACAAAGATCTGAATTCATAATGAGAATTACCAAATGAAGCCCATATTTGGTAATTTTCATTATGAATTCAGATCTGTTGTAAGAGTCCTAAAACCCGAACATCATTTGGAAACCGTCCGTAACTCTTCCTGTTTCAATCGTAGCTGTTCAAGTATCCCGTGCAAAACGAAGACTATCCCATGTTTGGTCATTTTCATTGTGAATTCAGATCATAGTGTAAGGGTTTTAAGACCCGACCATTAATCTAAATTTCCTTTCTTCATTCTTTCATTCATTATTTGATGCGTGGATCTTTTCTTCCTAAAATATCTTATTTTTCTCAGGTTTTGTGCTCGTGTGTAGTCAAGACAGTCACGATCACCAAAAACAAACGACTCACCACCGCGCATGCTTAGACCTACCGCTGTAGAACTAAAACTGCTGTCGCAGATAATAAGAAAATCACATTCGGAGAGAATAAAATGTTCAACCAGCATTGCTATAATACCTTTTGTATATCGATGAGTATCGTTGAATATCGTACTATTATCGTTGATCGTCGTGTGATTTGTACGATTGGCGCAGAACAGAGTCTTATTAAATGGTACAAYATTGTAACAAAATGCTGAACCATTGAATCCAGTCGTAAAGTTACACTCGATTGTATCATTTAAGATTGTTGTATTATGTAAAATATCCAGGTGTTGTATCGTCAAGTTGGTGGTGACGACTTTCTTTCGAAAGTTTTTCCTGGCGTATTCCTTCACACGGTTGTTATCTGTTGCCAGGAACCATAGAGCGTTATTTGAGCTTTCATTGAACTTGAAAACTGTTCGTTCTACGTGTCTTGCACACTTGAAGAATCCATTAAGTCTAGTGAGGTTTTTGAGGTTATTAATTCTTTCGTCCTCACGAGAAAAATAGTCAAACTGTAGATCCCCTGTCCTTATATGCATACCAATGGTCGGTCCACCAGCCTCACGTACTTTGTCTCTCCACAACTGAAGGAGATGCTCCACYGCGCGCGACTTTTCAAACAAGAAATCAAATGCGCAACCGATGAGGGCATATTTAGGAAGCCCGGAAGAAATCAATGGCGTGATGTTTAATTCTTTTGCTCGGCGCATAAGATATGGGTTGTTTTTAACCCCACCCTCGACAAAATACYAAATAGTAGTCACTTCTTCAATCGGAGCATCAAAATAACTGCTCAAATTTGTCCTTGTAAACCAGTTTTTAAAGTGTTTACTGTCTTGTATTATCCATCCTTCAGCTTCCCGAAGCTCTGCACTGGCTGTTCCCCAGTAGTGACGGCGCGTCTCTAGGCCTGTGCATRTGTCAAGTGGACTTGAATGATTCCACAGAATCCTCTTGGGCTTCAAATGGTTTTCTATAGGCTCCGGTGTCTGCCAGTTGATTAAGAATGCTCTACCCGTCAATATAGATAGGTAGAATAGTGATATCACTGCACGTAATCTATTGCCATATCCACAGCAGCCTTGTCTGTTTCCTGGACATGTGTATACCAGGTATTTTTCATTCTTCCTGGACGCTACCATGTCACTATGTAATCGAGCATACTTATCTTGCCATCCACTGCCGCATAATCTTAATCTGTTCCTCTCGTCCCACATATGGGTTTCAAAAGGTTTTCTTCCTTGTCCCTTGGAAAGAATTTCTTCATGTTTTTGATGGCTTGATCTGTCGTCTCTTCGTTCATTGTCATCAATCTTGCTTCCTTTCTGACCTGATATCTTCTTAATGTTGTGGTAGTTGCCATGGTAATCTTCAATAACGGTGCGTACTTTCACCTTAACAACTTGAATTTAAAAAAGCAACAACAAAAAAAACATACATTAGACAAAAGCGTTTATAACTTTTTGTATTTTACTTGTTTTAATCCTTAGTTTTCGAACAGTAGACTCTTGTTAGAACTTTAGAACTTTAACCAGAAGTCAAGACCTAAAATCAGCTCAATCTGGGGGTCAAAAAAAAAAAGAATTTCCTTCTCTTGAGGATTGAAATCTTTTATCATGTTAATATGTTCCATTGTTTTTGACCCCCAGGTAGTATCAAGTGCTTATTACTGAGCAATGCCGTTTTTTCTTATTTGGTGGTTTGGGAATCCAAAATTTCAAGAGGAAAAGTTACGCTGTGATATTCTGATTGGCTAACATAATTTTCCCTCAGATCAGCTGGCCATGGTTTGAGTAACAATCGCGAGGCTCATAAGTAAACAAAATGGCGGGTGATCAAAATAAAAATCAAGATTATGTACGCCGTCATGCATATGTACGAAACTGAAAGGGTATATCTCACCTGATAAGTTAATACTTTTCCACACGGTAGATATGTTGTAAATGATGATCACCAGGGTAATAACGATAATGAAAACCAAACTGGAAAGATGGGCCGGTCTCTTCAGGTACCTTAAGAGATTCGCCATGCTTTCAGGGACTTAGTCAGCTCTTGATGATATTTGGAACTAAAATGAACTGAACATAGATATGGTCATTTTTATCATATTTCTAACTGGCTGCCAATTAATGAATATAGCATGATCATAAAGTCTCCCATGGTTTCTTCAGGGGGTGGGTAGGGGAGTGTCATTCCGGATCCATGGGGGTAGCTGACAGTTGAATTTTTGATCTTTCATAATTTATTTGGTATTCAGTTAAATTTAAAAAATTTTTTTTGAAACACAATTGGAACAGAATACGAGCGACTCCATTAGTAGTGTCCTTCGTGGTACTTAGAATCATTGCTCATGACTACAGTCGACTGCCTGACGGATTCAATTCCCGACAGTTTTTAATTTCCAAGAGATTTCTCAACGAAAAATAATTGCTATAGATTGAAATTGAGTTACGGAAAAAATTGAAAAAAAAGTTAAGTAGCCATAAGTTTGGGGTCACCCATCCAGTTAATAACTTGGCTCGACCGGACTTGACTCGATATCTTGAACGACAACGATTTATCCACTGGACCACGGTTCCAGGTGAATCAGCATAACAATAGCCGTAAAAACAATGCACCGAATAGACTATACTTTTTAACATCATTTTTTCAACCGATTCYGTGCGTGGCAGAGATGCAAGCGATTAGTCGATATGGTCTGGGGGCCGGCTGGTCTCTCCCCTGATGCTTCGGCTAGAACATTTTCTTGCGTAATTCGTACACCCAAGGGCAGAAGGATTTAATCGCCGTCAGGTCCGAAGTCCATACGACGCCTCAGCTCTGCGGATGTCTCGGGGGTATGGCACACTGTGGGATCGATTTTTTTCTTGAATTCTGTCAGTGGGTTCAAATCCCATCGTATCCAGATGATATTTTCTACTTTTTTAAAATCAATTATTCGCTGGCAATATCTTTTTCATATGAAAGGTTACTACCTTATTCCTTCTTCAGTGTTTATATTCAGAAATTACCACTCTTTTCACTGCTACGCGCTGATCGAGACAACCGAGTCGCAACATGGAAATACGGTAGGGCAATACGCTGCCGCCAATCAGAGAATATAAAGGTACCGACCAATTTATTTGATTGAGGGAAGTGTATTGCTCAGCGCGTAGCAATGAAAAGAGTGGTAACAGTCAAGTAACTAAAAGCCCTACGATTTGACAGAATATAGATATGCTGTCGAATCATCCAAAAAAATTTAATAGAAAAATATAAATAATAAAAGTCTAAATCCTGGCTCGGATTCCAAAACAAGATGCTAACTTCTCTTGATGGATTTGCATAAGCATTTTTTCTTTATTTGTTTTTCCCTTATTAATTAAAATTCTTTTGTAGCACAGTTCGAGTTCAGTATTATGAGTTGCATTACATTCTAAGCGCCTGTAAAAGTATTTTAAAACTAATACATTAGGTTTATTTGTGCCTTGCTTTAGAAAGTATTAAATATTTCAACACCGTCTCTTGTAAATGCAGCTTGGCTTGCGTAAAAACAGAGATAGAATATGGAAGTTTGTAAGAGTTCTAATATCAAATAATCGTGTTAGCCTGACCCTAAACTAACATATTTTATATTACTAAGTCTTACCATGATAATATCTCTCCAAAAGCTTGACTTTCCTTGAAGCTAAGAGTAACAGTGCAGCCGAAGTTCGGCAGTTTTCACTTATCAGTTAGAGAGTTTTAGATTTACGTTCACGGCAAACGTGAAACGTCAGTTGACCAGTAAAAAATTCTTTTAAATTATTGAAAAAGAATCGCAAAAAAGTCCAAGTAGTAGAAAAACAAAAGAGTATTTGCGCTTGGTGAGAAGGTTTTTAAAAGGTAAAGTAAAATAAAGGAAAACTATGAAAACGTGGTCACGTTTGCCGTTTGCGGGGAGAAAAAAAAGTCAATCTAAAACTCTCTATTAAGATGAGTTTCTTGGGGCGCCTTCTCGAACTCCAATATTAACTAAACACTGACCGAAACACAGGTATACCAAGCGTGAGATTCTGTTGTCATTTCGCGCCTTTTACGATCTATGTACGAGTTTTCGCTCGGTTAGAGCAGTTTTCGTAGGAGTTGGGAAATGATACTGAAAATTTGTAATCTTACTGTAGCCGTACCGTATCTTACCGTAACTTCGCGTTCATGGAGGTTGGATAATTTATTCAAAGGCAATTTAGTCCAGAACCTGGACTCACTTTTATGGCTGAGCCGCGCGGTAAATACGAAACGAGTAATGCAACTAAGAGGCTGGTAACAATAAAAGTTAGTCGCATATACACTGATTTCAATAAAGTTAGTCACCAAAAACCTAGAAAGCTGAGATCACTGAGCATCATGGGAACCTTTTCATATCAAAAAAGCATATATATATACAAAGCTTTTTTAATACAAGCTTCAGCTCGAYATTGCTCAGAAGAGGTGAGACTGTAACCGGTAAAAGATTCGCAAGTCCATGAACAGTTATCAAGSGGTGGAACGTGTAAAATGAATCTAACCATAATGATGGCTCGTAGAATCCTGGAGGTTGTTTTGATCTCTTGTTTCCTGGTTTGATGTCGTGAAAATAGTCAAATACAATAGTTTGAGGACTTATTTTGATATGTTTTGACTTAGCATCCGCTAGTTGCCCCCCAGTCAACTCCAAAAAAATCACGTGATTGATAGCAAGCAATACGTGAGCTGCTGAAGATACTGTGTGTCTTACCCATTGGTAGTACTGAAGCGGAACGGTCGTTCTCTTGCTTCCGCAGACTCCACACATGGCTGAGGTCTAATATGACTACAGACAGACTATCTGATTTGGGTTAACATTGATACCGGGCGAATTTGCCATGCTTTTTTCGAAATGCATCCAAGGAAGATGACAGAATCATCAAATAATATTTCAAAAACGAGTGAGAGTGTTTCATTAGGGTTTCCAAACACGAGAAAACATTTGAAAGCACGAGGCCGTAGGCCGAAAAATGGCCAAAATTATGCCAATACACAAATCTGGATCCTTCTCTTATTGTGATCATTACAGGCCGACATCAATTTTACCAGTGATCTCTAAAGTAATGGAAAAAATAATTTATCGTCAAGTAAATAAATGTATATAAAATAAATATATGAGTATTGAATTTCGCTACAAGGACTACTCGCTATATTAACACATTTCATTTAGTTCTTTACAAGTAGCTAAAAAGAATCACCAATTTAAAATCAAAAGAAAAAAATTTGCTCACCAGTACACGTGACCGTTAATTGCAAATTACAATAATTAAACGCAGGATATATTTTTACAGCCGCTTTCAGTGTCGTCACGCAACGTTTTCTCTCAGGGGAGAAAGCGTTGCGTGACGACACTGAAAGCGGCTGTGGGGGAGACTATATTACTGTGGGCTCCCTGTGAACATCGTCAGCTCAAAAATAAACGATGCCATCTTGTTTTCAATTGGTTTGTTCGTCATCCTATATTCTTGGTATCTTCTTCTCGAGGACTCCTCCTTGTCTTTATCGAGGGATGTAAGTAGACTGCAGTGGACTGGTTTATTATATATTATATTTATTTGAGATAAGTGCAAATTGTCAGATCAGTTTTGGCATGTTTGATCGCTTCGTTATGGGATTTTAGGTAACGAGGAAAGAAAAATAAAGGTACATGATTGGCTTGCCTAGCTTCGTTCGAGGATATATTGCGTGATCTTATATCTGGGATTCGTTCATTGTCTTTTGGGGTCTTTAATATGATCAAAATGATCTAAAATAGGTTCGTTTGTGGTATACGGGGCTCGGACGAACTCCCCGAATCACCCTTAGATTCAGAGGTTACTTTATTATAATTTGCTTAGCGAACTTGCACGAACTGCTTGGCTTTTCTTAAGATGGTTAATAACAATGGGGTCTTTCTTGTAACGAGAGATTGAATGCATGCAGACTACTCTGTTAGTATTGTTTACGCGGCCTCAAGGGATGGTATATTATATTTTTGTATTCCCTTGGAGATAAGACTTGTTCCGCACAAACGAAAGCGTTGGTATGCAAATCTACAACTTTACTGCGATTCTCAGTCACGGGTGTTACTAAAACGAATAACGCAGTAACGAGTAACGAGTCCCGGGGGGGTAGGGGGGGGGGTGGGTACTACCACCCCAACTTGGGTAGGGGTGTGCCGCCAGGACCTCAAAACCCTGACCCTATCCCAGACCTAAAATTTTGATTTTATATACCTTACCCCAGACGAAAACTAAGRATTTGTACAYCCTATCCCACGCTAAATGACGGAAATGACGGTTATTCAATAGATTGCAATCAATATTTACTAATGTTTTTATTGTTTTTGTGCCGGCAGAAAGCGTAGCCTATTCGCCAAACAAAAATGAGAAAAGAGAACGAGAAAATATTGAACCTAATCTTACAAAGCGTTTTATTATGTCTTATTATACACTCGACAAAATTATTCGATTCTTATTAGACTTTAATAAGATAGAGGAGTACAGTTAAATTCCAAACTGTACTCTGTAGAGTCCCCAATAAGTTGCTCAATTTTGTTGAGTGTATTATAAACAAAACATCGCACGATCTTCTCGTCTATTCCGGRATTTATAGATACTCGTGATGTTTTGAAAGTTCTCAAATTGGACTCGCCTAAAGGCTCGTCCAATTTTGAAAACATCACTCGTACCTCGAGATCGCGTGATTTCCTATACAAATAAATAGCAATATTCAATCCCTGCTAGCAGAGTCTCCCTTGTTGACGATATTCTTGGTCAATAATCGCCAACGAAGGAGACTCTGCTAGCAGGGAAATTAGCAATGTTAAACCAAAGTCAAAATCTGGTTCTGACGYAGAGAGATAAACGAATAAACCAAAGTCAAAAGGAATCCTTGAAACCACGCGGTGAACACTAGGTACAACAGTCGGTACAACACTCATTCTCCATCGAACTCAAAAGACTAAGTAATCGATTCTTCTAAACAACTACAAAAATATAACTTGCACTCGTGGAAACCGTCAGTTTGATCTTGCTTCCTGTCTGTTTGAATTAAGATAAAAGGTTGCGAGGTACAAATTGCAGACGGCATTTGTGTAAAAAAGCTAGACTAAAACACAACAGAGAATACAAATTATGATTATTTATCATACATTACTATTTATTTCAGATAAATAGGAATATCTTCATTTTTTGCAGCTCAAGGAAACTTGTTACCTATAATGATGGGTTGTTCAAGAGTATCAAACCATCTGAACTCGCTCCAACGCACAAGCATCCCATAGCTGGTAGAAAATATCTCCCAGGTTCTGACGGTGACGGGTTTCCAGCGTTTGTTGCAAATGCTCGAGACGGCCTACCCTTTGCTTTGAAAGCCCAACAAGCTGATAGATTCACTGTAGCAGAATGGGCGGGGCACTGCCGAAATTTACTCAATGAAAAAAACTGCTGGAATATGGAGTGGTCTTGTTTCGAGGTCTTCCGTTGTGTGAAGGGAAAGATTTTTCGACTTTCACCAGAAATTTGGGGTATACCCCAATGGATTATAGCGGTGGGACAGGTAACAGGCCATTGTTCGATGAGAAAGCTACCATTTACATCTCGACACTTGATCCTAAAGAATTCACTATTGAACCACACAACGAGATAGCATGCTCCACAGTTCATCCTAAAAAAGTAAGTGCAGAACTGATCTCGTCAGATGATTGGCGTTTTAAGATGATTTGTGAAGAAGTGGCATTTTTATTGGTTTATATTAATAACAAAAAGAAGCCATATGTATATGAGAAATCCAAACATTGAAAAATTCAAATTTCAAAAAAAGGTTGGTAAGGGTTTTGTTGCATGAAGCAAGAACTGAACTATGGGTAATCTGAATCCAATTTTTTTCTGCAAATGTTTTTTTGATATATTTTCTTTCGTGCTCACATTATTTACATGTAAATATAATACCTATCAAGCCTGTTAAACGACATACAACATGCTACATGCAAGAAAACCTTTATCCACGTTTTATACCATGAATTTTGCCATCAAATATGTATGATAATAGTGGGTTGACCAAAGTCAGCATACTGGGTTGATCAAAGTCGGCAAACGGCAAACTCAAAATTGATTTAATAGGAAGCTTGTAAGGTTTTGCAGAGGGAGGAAAACCGGAGAAACCGAAGAAAAACCCCTTGAAACAAGGGAGAGGCCCAACAAACAGCTAACAAACTCTACGAGTCCAGGAATCCGATCGAACCCAGATCCCAGAGACGAATAGTCTCCCCCACAGTCGCTGTCAGTGTCGTCACGCAACGCTTTCTCCCCTGAGACTAAGAGACGAAAGGAGTGAATGCACTTCAGCTATGCCACCCTTGATTCACACCAACCATTTATCTTCCTTTTTTAGGTGGTATTTTATTGTGACCAAGAACCTGCAGAAGACTGTGGCGGGTTGACGACAATCACAAGAAACTCTGAAGTATTTGCTAAACTAGATCCAAAAGTTGTACAGAAGCTGGAGGAAAAACAAGTTCGCTACAGTCGTTACCTACCAAGCAGTAGCAAGAACACTCAATATGTCTCTTGGCAGTCCTCTTTCTATACAAACGACACCAAGGTAAACTTGAAGCTAGAGCAGTTTGTGCATGACTGTGAAAAGCTCGGTGTAATATGCGTGCCTTGCTACCGTGGTGTTTTTTAGAATGTTGATTGGCTATTTTTCTCTCGTGAAATGTGATTTTTTTTCTTTTTTCTTTTTAATAAATACTTTATTA